TGATAGGATTATTCTCCTTCTGGTTGTTGTTTGAAGTCAGCATTTCAGGCTTCACGTGAGAGTTGTCTAAGTAATTTAATGTCACTTAGATATTTCTGTATTTGAGAAGTACAAACCCATATTTCATGTAGTTCTGCCTCTCAGGCAAAAATCAGTGCTACAGAGAGGGTTGCTTACATTGTGTATGTATCCAATTAGAATGATAGATTTGATTCCTAATATATCTTCAGTATTTAGTTGGGGTTGAGCTAGGTCAGCTGATTCTCAAGTATGTGGTTAAAAAAAAAAAAAGTATTTCCACTGATGGTATGATGGTAACATTGGAATTAAAAGCTTTTGCTGTTGTCATCTTCTTCTGTTCCTTCACCAAAATACCACCCCCAAGCTTTGCTGTGCTTGAAATTGAGAACAACAACAACAAAAAAAAGTGAAAAAGTTCTCTTATCTGTCTGTCTTTCTTGCCTGTGGTGTCAGGAGGAGGGGAGGAGGAGAAACAGGAGGAGGAGGAGAATGTGGAATTCTCAATATTTCACCTTCTGTTCCCAAGTTCTGATACTGAACTCATTTCAGGAAAATCTGTGAGGGGAAAAAAGGTGGGGAGGACAGTTCTGCTGCTGGGTGTATAGCCCTAGTTGGGTGGTTAAGCTCTGTAGGGTTTGGGATTATAGTTTACTATTCTTTTATGATAAAGCCTGGGGCTGAAACCTGGAGTTCAAATATAAAATCTTACAGACATGTAATTAGCCTGAATTAATTCTGAGTGACCTAGCTTGTAGAAAAGGAGGCTGTATAGCCAGACTAATTCTGAGTTCATGTAGGCTAACCTGCTGTGCTGAGCATTAGATATATTTAATCATATAGACAACGTTTGTGTATTCATGCATATAACTTGAAGATTTATGTCCTGCTTCTATCACCTGTTCTGTTTGGCACAGATTTTAAGTGGCTCATAATCTATTGGTTGGATTTCCTGCAAAGCAATCTTCCTTATATACAGGCAAAGAAATAGTGAGAACATCGCTGTTCATGGTACCTTGTGTTCACACTCCTCATGCAAAAATGCTGTCTTTGAACTACTTCTCACCATTTTTATTGTTGCCCTTTTGATAGTTTTGAACTGATTTTGTGAACAGAAAGATGTGAAATGTAGTATGGGATTAGATTTTTTTAGCTTTTTGAAATCCCTGCTCTTCTTTCTTTCCATCTGTCCCAAGAAAAGCAGAATTAGTTTGTATACAGAATAAGGCTGAGGTCTTCATTTACATTGTCTGGCTCCTTTTTTTTTTTTTTGTCGTTCCCTCGCCCCCCACCCACTCCCCGAGTCATGCATATAACTCTGAAAGGAAACCTGTGAGAGAAGAGCTTGAGTAAGTTGCTGCACAGTAATTCCTGGCATTTTCTAGGGAAGAGGGAGAGCAGTAGAACTGAAACCTAATTTACAGATGAGAGATGCAAAGAAGCTTTGACTCTCAGATTTTTTTTTTTTTCCTTTTGTCCACATGAGCCCTCAATATTTGTCTTTTCCTTCTCTTTCTGGAGATTTCCCTATCAGGCATTAAACAGTTCTTCTTTCCTTTCACTTTGCTTTCCCCAAGATGACCTTTTAGCTCTAGAGGGGAGAACAGTAAACCAGCTCTTTCACTACCCAGAAAAGAAGAGAAGCCCAGTATTAGAAAGAGATGCTGAGCATGAGATTTACCTCAGACTGCATCTGTCCAGTGTTGCCATATGCAAGATGGAATAAAAGTGCATGTTCTTCAGTTTACTTATTTACTATTCCCCTGTGGCTCAGGAGAGTAAAATAGTCATGCTGCTACTGTGTCACACCTGAGAGCATATTGAGTGATTCCACTAAATACACTTTCCCAGGTGTTGCCCAGAACAGCTTCTTCCTCAGGTTGTTTATCAGTGCTCTTTGTTGAGAATTCTTAGAGAATGGGATATATTGGGCTGTATAGTTCAGTATTCTTTTGGTCCATTCTTTTATCAGACATTTATTTTGATAGTTTCTGTTGTGTTTTATCATGATATAATAGCTTCACAGAGCTTTGAAGAATGTTCAAATTAAATTTGGATAATGGTAAAAATTTCCATTTGTTGAAAACATTAGCTGCAATGCAGAGAAGGGAAGAGAGAGGTGGAAAGTGTTTCAGTGAATACTTTTAATACTATATAGTGAAGGTGTTGTGTAAGTTGTTATATCTGAAGCCTGGGTCATCCATATTTGTAGTGAGTGACTCATCAGTCATAATATTTTGCACTATACTAGCATTGTATCTCTTACCAGAGAGCTTTTCTGACAGCAAGTAGGCCAACGAGAACCCAGTAAAGATAGAACAATGTCAATAAGCTGAAGATTGATTCACAGAATATTGTATATTAGTTTCACAGATGGGGATAAAATATCAGAACTCCCTCACAGACAGTGTGTGTTTCCTATTAATTCAGTCCCTTGCTGTGGTTTCTGAAAATGTAGGATTTTTTTTCTCTGAAGCATGTATTGCAAATTAAAAGCATGTCAAGCCTGCCTGGAATAGCTGGTGCTATCTCTTAATTTGAAATATAACTTACTACTACTCATATCAAACTCAGTGATCCTCTTGTTTCATTGCCAACTATCTGATATTTCCGTTCGTATCAATCTCCAGTCCTCTGGCATATCAAGTTGTCTTTGTCTTTGACGAACAAGCATGGTGACCAGGGCATGACCATGACACCTTCAGTTCACTGCATTTCCAGATGACAGTCCCATGAGTGATAGGGCGAATGTATTGGCTTTGAAGGACAGTTTGCTGACAATATACAAAGGTCATTTCTTTCTCAGCATAGAGTACACTGGGAACTAATGTGTGGGCAGAATTAATGCCAGGATATAAAAAAGTGGATATAGAAAGGAAAAGGAAAAAATAGCAGAATATGTATCTTATAAAACAACAATTTGGATCTCAGCAGGGCATGCTCTATGATTAAAGTGTTTCAGAAGGCTGATAACACTGCAAAGACTAACTGATATTTTAATTAGACAAAAACATATAAACTACAGGTGTTATTCTATATTTGAGAAGTTTAGAGAATACTTCTCTTATTCTTTACCTTTTAGAGCTTTCAGAGATGTATGAAATCTGTCAGTTGTCCCCAAGGAGACTTTCTCATTTTCAAACATTTTTTTCCTCTCTAGTCACTAGTCACCATGCTTATTTGTGTTGAATATTAAACAAGTGCCTCTCAGGGATTATCACTCAGAAGCATTGGCTTGATCAGAACTGTCTAGACCATGACGATGTACTGTATCTATCTTTGCAGGCTTTGTTGTCTGGTTTATTCTTTTTTTTTTTTCCTTTTCTTTTTTTTTTTTTTTTCTGCTTTGGTTTTGCTGTTACAGATTACAAACACAATACCTCTTTATTGAGGCAGATTGCTTAGGAACAGTGAAGAGCAATACAATGCTGTCATAGAATTTCCCACTTGCTAGGTTTTCCCTCTATAAGGATATTGTCAAACCCAGAGATGTGTCATTAGTCATAGCCTTTGACATAAGACATCTCAGACACAGAACAGTGGTAAAATACTGTTCATGATGGGATCCATTTGGTTCTTGCTTCTCTTTCTTATGTCTTGTGATTGTAGTAGTCTACTACATAAAAGCAAGAGTTAATCAGGCTGAAGATTTATCAGGACTATTACAAAGCTGAGAAAAATGATTTCTCTAAACATCCTTGCCTTACCATCCTTACCAGTGAGTATTACCCTAGTTTGTGTAGGTTTTTGATCATGGTGAATACTTAGTAATTGCTTATGAAGAATTAAAGTCACCATCAAGGTCCAAGAGCATATTGCAAGGTATTATTAGAAAAACTGTCTAGTTCATGATACGTAGCTCTGAATGCATTAGCTTATGTTACAAGTTAGATCAACATGTTTGAGCAGAATGTGTACTTGCCCCCAGAGATGAGGCATATGTGGATGGGTATGAAGATAGGCTGGTATCATGCATGCATGCGATGCACAAATTACATTCTTTGTGAGGTATTGCTATGAGTACTTTCACTGTCAATAAAAGCATCTAAAAACCCTAAAGGAATCTATTTCAAATGGAAAACCACTTCCTTTCTCTGCTTTGGCAGAGACATTCTTTTCTCTTGCAAGAACCTAACAGTGTCATCCTTTTTGTTAAGTTGCCTGTGAGTTTTACTTAATCCTTTGTGCTTGAAGTCCCTTAAGTCCCTTTTCGTCTTCAGATGGAGACAGATGCAGCAGAAAATAATGTATGGACTAACTGAGGAACTCTAGATTGCATCACTATTTGCAGCAGTTAGGCACAGTGGCTAACAGGTTAAATGAGGCCTATGTCTGGAAAGGAAGAACAGTCAAGTGGCACAAGTATATAGATGATTTTCATGTTGGAATGCAGTTGCAATTAGTGTGTTTTAAGCTTATATTACAGTTATGCTGGAAATATTAAGGCTAAATGGATCTGAAATCATGATGTCTTGTCTCTCTGTGCTGTAAGCTAACAACACTACCATTGTGTGGACTGCAAAATATCAAAGAAAGTTTCCTGTTAGTTTCCCTTGGCATGGGCAATTCTCTTCCTGCTAAGAATTAGAGGACAGTTCATTATTTCATAAGTCAATTCAGTTCTTTTGTATGCTAATTCTATTAATGAGAATACCAGAGATCACAGAATCACAGAATCATTGGTGTTGGAAGGGACCTCCTAAAATCATCTAGTCCATCCCTCACCCCCTATCCCCTGCTCAGGCATGGTCACCTGGAACAGGCTGCCCAGGACCCTCTCCAAAGATGGAGACTCCACTACTTCTGTGGAAGCCTGTTCAATTGTTTGGTTAGCCTCACCAGGGAAAAAAAAAAAAAAAAAAAAGTTTATTCTTGAATTCCAATGAAATTTCACATGCTTCAGTTTGTGTTCATTTTCTCTTGTACTGTTGTTTGGCACCACTGAGAAGTCTGTCTCCCTATTTTTCATTCTCTCCCTACAGGTATTTATATGAGATCGCACTGAGCCTTCTCCTCTCCAGCCTGAACAGCCCCAGTTCTCAGTCCCTCCTCCTCCATGCTTCAGTACCTCCATCACCTTTGTGGCCCTGCACTGGGCTTACTCTAGTAAGTCCATATCTTTCTTGGTCTGGGAAGCTCAGCACTGGACCCAGTAATCTAGGTGTGACCTCAGCAGTGCTGAGGAGAGGGAAAGGACCAACTCCGTCCACCCACTGGTAATGCTCTTCCTAACAGAGGCTTAGATGCTCTTGGTCTTTTTTTTTTCTGCAAGGGTACATTGTTGGGTCATAGTTGACTTGTCTGCCAGGTTCCGTCTGCAGGCTTAGAGAAGGGACACTCTGTCCCATCATCCAGGTTGTTACTGAAGATGTTAAACAGCATTGGCCCCAGCGTTGACCTGTAGTTGAGATCAGCACTACTGACTTGACGCCAAGTGGACTTTGTACCACTTACCACAACTCTCTGTAACTGGCTCATCAGTCAGTTTTCCATCCACCTCACTGTCCACATATTCAATATCTACTTTGTCAAGCTCGTCTGTGAGACTGTAATGGGAGACAGTGTCAAAAGCCTTAATAAAGTCAATGAAAACAACATCAGCTGCTTTCCCCTCATCCATCAGGCTAGTCATTGTAGAAGTCTATCAGGTTGTTGAAATGGTTTCCCGTGTCATAAATCCACACTCACTTCTTTCAATCACCACCTTCTCCTACACGGGTTTAGAAATGGTTTTCAGGAGGACTTTGTTCATCTCTTTCCCAGGAATAGTGGTGAAGCTGACAGGTCTGTAGTTCCCGTAATCTTACTTCTTCTTGCCTTTCTTGAAGTGATATTTGCTCTCTTCCAGTCTTTAGGAACATATCTCCCAGGAGGACCACAGCCTGTGAATGTGAGGCTTCTTACAGCTGTTTGAAGAAACCTTATCTGCTACTTTCTTATCAGGAAGTCTCTAGTGGATACCCATTACTTTAGCACCCATGTTTGCCTTGTGTGAGCCATAAGCTTTCAACTGGAACTTCACTGTTCCCAAGGCAGAGCTCAGTGTATTTCAGCTACTCTCTCACCTAAAGGGCATTTGGTCTTCCTCATCTTCCCAGCTTTTCATTCCTAGAAAACCTGTACCTATCCATTTCTGCACTCCAGTCCTGTCAGCTACCCCCCTTGTCTCCGTGATCCCAACAAGGTCATAGCCCTATAATGGTACACAGATTTCTAGCTCTTCCTGCTGGTTCCCCATGCTGTGTGAATTAATGTAGAGATGTTTAGAGATGCATACAAGCATGCTGGATCCCCAGTATAGGCTCAAGTGCATTCCCTGTTCTGTGAGCACTTCATAATTTATGTGCCTATGCTTGAAGAGGTTTCACTTCAGATCTGTTTTGTTGATTACTATTTCCTTTCTGTTCCTGTTACCCTGATTCATTGACTTACACATCCCATCCACAACTTGTTTCTTGAGGAAAAACATATAAATGGGGTGCTATAGGTGTGTAGAAAGGCAGAGCATATTTATGATATCTTTATCTTTCATGATTACAAACAGTCTCTCTGCAGAACCGTAATATGCCTGAGGTTTTGCTACCTGAATTGAACACGTCTTATTCTTTCTCATGATCATGAAACTGAAAGTTATTTCAGCCTTTTGCTTTTCCGTGCCTCCTCATAGCAGATTATGATGCAAATGAGGGAAAACGTCGTGTTCATGAGTAGCTAAATATTCTTTGAGAATCATGGTTGTGTGAGAAGAGGGTGAGAGGGGTTTCTCACTTTCAAATATAAGGCCCAAATCATTCCAGCTGAGAGTGTTTGAAAATCATTACTGTCTTCTGGGATCTGAATTCTCCCTGTATGAATGAATGACTTTGTTATTTCCTTTAGTTTCTCCATGTCTGTGTAAGCTATTTATTCACCATGTTTTATCCTCTCCCTGATTGTACACTGTCTGTTTTTACAGCTTAATTTTTACGTATTTTTTCAGTATCCAAAATAGCATGATGAACACTTGGTACAAACATCTTCATAAATAGTTATCTTCAGCTTATTTTCTCTTTATGTGCCTGTGTGATTGGTCTCCTTGGTCATGTTATACTGTTTCTTCTAGCTAATTTCGTGTTTAATATTTATATAAACTGAAAAAAGAAAAATAATGAAAAACTTTTAGGGATTTCCTTAAGATATAATTTTTCTGCAAATCCCCCTGAGACACATAAACAACAAAAAGTTAAAAAATAAGAAGTTTAGTCACTTTTGAGAAAAAGGAAAGTGGATCCAGAACACACAATTTGAGTTTATATATGTTCACCATCTTTCATCTACAGTGTTTTTCTCATCTACATTTCATAGAATCATAGAATCATAGAATATCCTGAGTTGGAAGGGACCCTTAAGGATCATCAAGTCCAACTCTTGACACCGCACAGGTCTACCCAAAAGTTCAGACCATGTGACTAAGTGCACAGTCCAATCTCTTCTTAAATTCAGTCAGGCTCGGTGCAGTGACCACTTCCCTGGGGAGCCTGTTCCAGTGTGCAACCACCCTCTCTGTGAAGAACCCCCTCCTTATGTCAAGCCTAAATTTCCCCTGCCTCAGCTTAACCCCGTTCCCACGGGTCCTGTCGCTGGTGTTAATGGAGAAAAGGTCTCCTGCCTCTCGACACCCCCTTACGAGGAAGTTGTAGACTGCGATGAGGTCTCCCCTCAGCCTCCTCTTCTCCAGGCTGAACAGGCCCTGTGCCCTCAGCCGTTCCTCGTACGTCTTCCCCTCCAGGCCTTTCACCATCTTTGTAGCCCTCCTTTGATCTTTTTTATACTGGTAGGAGAATTTAATTAAGGACTACAAATAGAAGTGACCAGAGAATGAGTTTTTTTCCTGCAGTCCTTCATTTTTGAACAACTGATTTGATCTGTATGTGGGGGAAAAAAAGTCTGCTATTTTTACATACTCATAAATTTCTTGTATATTTGTTTTGTATGCCATTGACCCAAGTGTGGATCCTGAAGGAATAAAAGTCTAGTTTACAAAATGCTACCCTACAAAGAGTTTCCTTTCCCTTGATAGAAAAAATAAATAAATAAAAAATCATCACAGACCTTCAATTTTACTTGAAAGAGAAGTTTGCTCCACTTGTCCAGTCATCTCAGTTATAAAATGCCCACCTGTCACTGTTTTTATTTATTTATTTATTTATTTATTTATTGTTTTGATTTGCAGCTTCTCTCTGGAGAAATTTGTGGTAATATTTAGTCTTGAAGTCACTTAAAATATCTGAAAGGATGGTGATTTTTTTTTTTTTGTGGCTCACTACATACTCAGAATGAGATGTCTTGAAATTGTTTTATTTGCAGAAACAGTTATGTCCCTATTGTCTGGTAAGTGTCTCCCTTTTAAGATCTAATAATGGGCAAAAAAAAAAAAAAATCAATTTTTGTATAAGGGCCTCAGATGGAAAAAATGAATACCAACAAAGGGTTAGTACAGTAATAACCAAATCTTGATTTTCATGGAGCACCGAGAGATTTTATATTATCGCATGGGGCACGAAACTCTTCAGCTATGGTCTTCAGCACAGAATTGTTTTATCAAAAAATATGACTGTGATTTCTTACCAGGAAAATACATATTATTTTTATGGACTAATGGTGATTTTCTTGATAGAAGAAAGTGTCTGTAATGCTAAGGATACCAAATAGGCTCTTGTTGAAGAGGAGAACATTAAGAAAGGATCACCTTGGAAACTGCATATAGTAACATCGGGATGTGCCTGCACAAGTAGTCTTACGGGAACTGTGCATGTAAACGCTAATTAAGATAAGCAAAAGTGATCACAGTTGGTTCCTTTATTAAAGGCATTTCCTCTGAACTTGTCTGCTCTCCAGAAAGTACTAAACTGCAGACTTCAGAGTATGTTGTGAGATTTTATGTTTGCCTGGCAGAGCTAACCTCTCTCAGCAGGGCTAATTAGTGTGGTGAATCTACTCATGCAGCTGTGGAGGTTTCTGTGCTGCAACTACTTTTGAAAGAGCTTGCTTGGGACTCTATCTAGCAGCGCATTGTACAAACAAATAAAACAGGAAAAAAAGGAAGGGGGTGAGGGGAGTTTCAGTGTTTCTGCACACAGGTTGCTCTTTCATTGACTGAAATATAACACATGCATGCACTTGACATGCATGTATTGTTGAAGGAAAGTAGGCCTAGATGTTTTATCAATTATCTGTGTCTGGACAGATTGCAAGCTTTACCTTTTGAACACCACAGAATGAATTAAAGACAACTTCTACTGATAATAATTCATATTAAATTTTATTGTGCTCTAATGAAAATTCCTCATTTGAATGTAAATCACATAATTTGTTCTCCCTGATTTAGTATGTTCCCTCTGTTTTACATTAGGCTGTCTTTCATAGGTGCCCACTGTATAACCGTGAAGCTATCTGAGCAGTGTTGTTGGCATAGGAAATGACTAACTGATGTTACACTGGCTTTAATCAACTTGATTGTAATTGAAGTAGCATGGCTCTGTAGGAAAGGAAGCAGTGTAGTAAGTGCTTATTCATTACCTCTGGAATGAAAATGTTAAAGCACAGTACTTAAGAGACCAAGAGGACCTTTTAATTTTCGTTGATGATTTGTTGCAGTAGTAAACTACATAGTAATATAGAGTAGAATATATAATAATAATATAGCATATAATAACATAATATATTATAAAGTATATAACAAAAGGTTATGTAATAATATGAAGCCTTACACATAAACAAAGTATATTGAAGAGTACAGCTTAGCTTTTCACTTATTCCCATGATTTGGTCAGGATAAGAAAAAATATATTAAAAATCCATAAAACAGAGAATTTTAAAATTAACTTTTATTATTTTGGTAATAAACTGATTATTATTTTTTTATATAGATTTGATTAGCAAGTCAGCTTTACTACAAACTGGTGTATATAACATGTTAAAATCTGTTTTTTCCAGTCTACTGTAGTATCTAAATGTGGAATTCAATAGTATCTTTACAGAATTTGATGCGAAGGCCTTTTTAATGCATACACATCTTGCTCCATAATCTTAAACTATTTCACAAATAAACCAATACAATAAAATCCGTATTCTATAAGGCAGATCTTTATTACAAACAATTTTATTTAAATCTACTTCTAAGTTTAGATTGTAATAATGTCAAATCGAATATTTTGCCATTCAGTCACTTATATGCTTACTGCTACTTAAGCAGAGCTCTTATACCTCATCATTTTCACTGCTACTTTATAGTAGTGCACCTAAATATTTATCCACTTGTTTCTAAAAAATTAACATGTCTTCATGATTATTGTAGGTGCCATTACTATCATTGACTGTAGCCAAAGATATTCAGCACCCACCATGGTAAAATTCTGCTTTCAGTTGCTACTTTTGCCAGTCTCTAGCTATTTGCACTTCAATCTTGGCTGCCGGGCATAAGTCTCAGGTAGTTTTTATGAGAGGGAAAAAAAAAAATAAATAAAAGCTAGGAAGAAAAAAGCCCTTTCAGGGAGGAAAAATGCAATGAACTCCTCTGCTACCTTTGCTGGATTTAGAAAGAGAATGCTGTGCTAAATGAAATATGAATCTCTCTATTCATATGTGTGTGAGTGGATATGTGTTTATATAATATACATATATATATATATATATATTTTTTTTTCCCCTCTTGAATGGAAACCTGCTCTAGGGGGGCAAATCTGCTGTATAAGTAGTAGTTATTCTTAGAGCTTGGTAATGAAGTTCTTTAATGATTTTTTCCATCATCAAGGCCTATGGGGACCGGCAATCTCTGTTCTCAGTGTCCCTTGTTTTTTCCTCCAGGAATATAATAGGAATAAACCAGCAGAGTTCTACTAGAAGGCCCTCTGTGTAAGACCTAATCTGCTGTAACAAGTTGCCTATATATTAGCCAAACAATGTTTCTAGTCTGAAGGGTTGCAGCATTTTAAAATAATGGTGAGAATTGTGCTAGGTAACATTATATTGTCTAGGGACTGTTACGTATTATTGATCATTGTTTTCCTTATAGTAGCCAAAAAACTTTTCAAGTCCTACTTAAGGTCTGTTAGTTGGGGCAAATATGTGCACAGGCTTTAGACGTGTACCTGTCCATCACCAAGAATTTTTTTAAGAACAAACAGGTGATAAGGAGATACACAAATCAAGTACCAAGGTAGGCCTAGCACATTTGAGGACACGTTGCTCAAGACTTTTATATATATATACAAGTAGGGAAAATATGTCCTAATCTGAAAGTAGGATAAATGCCAAAAGATCAAGATGTTAAGGGGCTGACAACCAATGTAAGACCAGAAAAGGATTAGAGATGGAACATCTTTGCAGAAGTTCACAGTACATTTGGGCTAAGAAGGTAAACTATCATCAGAAATCTGCAGAAGCAGATTTCATTGTTTGCTGATTTTCAGATCTCTACTTTGTTGCAGTCAGTAAAGGGGGCTACAGACAAAAGACACCTACTTTCCTAACCTGGGCTCCAAAAGTGGAAAGAAAATTTCATGTAAATGGTGGGAAGACAGCAAGCAGAAGGGGACAGCCTACTCATTGAACTCCTAGCACCAGGTAAGAAGAAAACTGACAAGCAGCTTCTGGCAGTGAGGATCAGGAAAGCTAAAAGGGGGAAAGGGACAGGAGTCAGAAACTAGCAACTTGGGTCCAGGCTAGAGCAATTAATGGGGAGGGGAGGGAAGGGAAATGGGGAAAACTCAAGAGGCCCTTCTTGAGGTCAATAGGCCTAATAGAGCACCACCACTTATTTGCCTCCTACTCCACTTAGGCTTTGTCCTGGACCCCAGCATTTCTGAGTTTTGCTGTGCCTGCATTGTCACCAGAGATCTGTGAAGTAATCACTGGTGTGGAGAGTGTGTCATCTTTTAGCTAATGCTGACCTAGAAAAGAGAGCGGCCTATTTATGACGGTATTTCTCAGAGTAATAGAATAACCGGTGCCTGTGCCTAAGATATAAGAATTTGAAACATTTACATGTATCAAATGTAATGCTGAAGTATACAATTATACTAGCAGCCTGTATGGAAAAGGGCTGGAAAAAAAAAAAAAAAAAGGTTTTAAGGAGAAATGAACAGTCAAATAAAAGCAAATATAAAGAAGAAAATTATTTGAAAGTCAATTGTAATATCTCATGGAGATGTAATTTCTAATACTGTTATACTGTTGTTAAAATATAATTTTATATTACATTTCTGTAAGATGCTTAATTTACTCTGTTCCTCTTTCTGCTGAAATGAATGGATTATTTTTTTATTATTTTAAAGGAAAGTGCTTGACAAAGGCGAGCCCTACTGTACATTCAGGTTTTCAGGGACTCTTCGTAGAGATCACTATCTAACTGATTTCCTGCTCTGTCATTGGATATTATTTCTTTTCAGTTCTTAGTGTTCTATTGTCTAAATAGATTTTATTTTTCAGAAATACAAGATTCTTCCAAGGTGTCATTTACAGTCCACATCTGTGTGCTTCAAATAAAGTGTATGTGCTTTTTAATAGAGACTGAAGTACAGTAAGGCACAGTTATCACATGTACTTTGTCACAGTTTATGCAAACACTGTCATGAGCTATTTAATTAGGGATCTACATTCCTTGTCTACATGTACTCAGTATTATAGCTTTCCTCCTTCTAAAATGATTTGCTACCAGTTCCATATCAGGCCACTCTGTTGGTAAGGTTGTGTATGACTCAGTATCACATGCTCATCATTGTTGAATCCTCTTAGCCATTATTAGTCCTTCTTTGGATCTTTGAATGAAGCAGGAACTCTTTCTAAGCACTTCGCTGCCAGATTCACCAGTGACATGTATTTTATGCTAAAAAAACAATCACTCCCTTAGTGCTCGTATTCTTATTTACAGTCAGCATTACAAACTGTATTGTATAGGGAGGTAAATTAGAAAGTTTATTTTTTATTATTATTATTCCTACTATATGCTCAGCACCAAATGACTTATAACTTATGCCATGCTGCTTGAAAAAATGTATGAAAATTATTTACAAGCAATCAAATCACTTTAATTTTTTTGCAGCAAAGATGAGTGTATTATGTTGTCAGCTTTTCACTACCTTTGCTTTCATTAATGGCCTCCCAGTAGTATCTAGAATATTTAGAACTTCTTCTCTCTTGGTTTCCCTTTTTAGCTTTGACTCTTCCCACAAAAATTAAACTTTATGGCTTTTTGGACAGGTAATGAAAACTTTCTTTCGTTTGTTTCTGGCTGGAAAGAACTTCCTTTCCATATGGCCTTTGTAAGGAAGGGTGTCTTTAATTCCTGTTACATGTGCTTTGCTTTGGAAGTCAATGCATCAAACTCCTTCTCCTGTGCTCCTACTCATTCTGTTTAGGTTAAATATTCTTTTAAATAGAATAGGGGTGTGGAGAGGGTGTTAGAAAGGCAGTGCTGAGACAGAGGGGTGACTCATTTCTAGTAACAGAAACATTATAGGAGCAATTTTTCAAGTTTTTAGGGATGTAAGCTTTTAAGCTAAAAGGAATGGAAGGATTGTTATTTTCTGTGCTGAAGGAAAGGCTGTAAAGAAATAAAAGATAGTAACAATGCTTACTTGTTGGCTTTCCATAATTCAGCACCCAAGTCGGAGGAGGTAGAAAGATACAGTAAAATATAATTAAAGAAGGAGTTACTCAACAAAATAAGGCTAGTAAGAATGTATAGGGTCACTACATGCAGTTGTTGGGACTTGTTGAGTGGAAGAAATTCGAACTATTTGTTTCTTAACTTCTATCTAAAATATGATGCAAAAGAAAGAAACAGTGCACGTCAGGTACTTTAAATTACATTTTAAAACTGTAAAAATAATACCTTCTTAAAAGCACAATTTCATTTCAAAGCTGTCTTACTGAGGCTTCTAAATTTTATTAATATTTACTGTGGAGTCTTCCTGTATATGCTTCATATAGACACAAAAGCAAAGAAAGGGCACAAAGAACTCAGCATCCAGAGCTGTTCTATAAAGACCATTTTCCTGGGTGTTAAATCTAGGAGATTGTTATGGAGAGTAAACAAACTAGATTTAGATAGCAATTCATTTTGACTTCAATGTCTAAGTCTTGAATTAGAACTCTATTTGTTAATGAAATTTCATTGTTGATAACCACCTGTGTATGAGATAACAAGAGAAATAGCTGAGATGACAAAATATCTGACTATCTATTACAGTTTTGCAACTCTTTGGCAACATTCATCTTCTTTCTTCAGGCCTATGAGGCAGTTTCTGGGAAGATGCTGTTAAGTGACACGTTTGCCATGGTCCTGGCTATAGAATATGCTATGAATTCTTGACAGTAATACACATACTCACACAATAAAAGGTTAAAAAGTACTTGGATACTAAAAACACAGTGCTTCAGCACAGTACTTTTTCTTGTACTAAAATAAATTAAATAAATGCCTGTTTAACTTCTACCAATAAGATTGACTAAATTCCCCTTTTCGAAGATTTATAACACTTTGTTTTACTGTCCAGATTTTCTTGCTACTGGTGTTAACACTGGACTAAATCTAACCTTGTTTTAAATAAAGCAAAAATTTTGTGTTGAGGATTCAAAAATGTTGATATCATAATTTAAAATGACGAAAGGTAGATAGTTGTTTTTAATTTTAAACAGTACTAACACTTTCATGGCAATTAATTTAATTTAATTATATTTTTTTAGATACCACAAATCTTGCAAGTATTTTCATATTTTTTTTTTTATCATTGGCTAAAATAATTTACAAAGAAATTATTTAACTTAGAACTCTTTTAAATCTTTACTAACATCCTAAATTCCTAACTTTTAATCAGTGAGACATTTCCCACTGAACAGGTGGATGTCTCCTTAGACTTCTAGAATAATTAAATTGTGCTTAGTGTGCTTTTTTTTTTTTTTTTTAAGCATCAGTTTTCACAATGACAATACTATAACATCTTTAACAAAGAGAAAAAAAAACAAAAACAAACAACAAAAAAAACCTTATCTTCCTTTACACTTCTCCTTGCTCAATTGCTGTTGCTTTTTAATTCAGAAGTTCACAGAAATGTGTGTTGAGGTAATTAAGAGGCACATTGATATTTAAGTATTATTTACTTCAGCGGTCTAACCTTTCACACAGTTTTAGCAACTTAAACCAATTCTTTTGGTCAGTTCAATGCACAGATTGCCTGTTTGGATTGTGTGTATGCACAAAGCTTTACCCAGCCCAGAGTGTATTCACACAGACACTTGCAACCAAATGGAAATAACTTGCTTGCTAAATTACTTGCATGATTGTTTTGCACAGGAAATTGTGTGTGCAAATACCTTGATTAAATTCAGCTTCCTCATGCTAAGTTCTGAAAATCTGTTGCTGGAAAAAGTAAATTTACATATAAATGTACTCCTGCTAGAAGTTAAATCCCAGTTTAGCCCTGTCAACAAAAATTAAGCTTATATATACAAAGAAGTAGTCTGATAAATTTACAATCAGGTATGATGCATATGACTTTGAATGTGATGTTAGTTACTGCTGTCTGAATAAGAAGATAATTATAAGTTATAGACTGAAGCCTTAGGAACCTGAATGATGTTAGTTGAAAGTTACTAAATCGAGTTTCCCAAGTTTGAGATGAAAAAGCTGCCTTTGATTAGAGAGTAGATAAGGTTATAGGAAAAAAAATAGAGAGACATACATATGAAACAAAGGATCAGAACCCAAGCACTTCTAATAGTTTCTCTAGAAAGCAAGTGAATAGATTAAAAACTGTTACAAATTGTTTTGAAAATATGATTCTGATTACTTTGGGCATCGTCTGGTTTCATTGCACTATTACTGAATAAGCATGCTTGAATTTGAGCAACATTAATACTTCAGAAACTAGATATAAAAGATATATTTCTTTCTGATTTATTTTTATTTTATTTTTTTTACTTAAGTGCAGTTCAGAAAAAACAAACTGCTTTCATTCTGTAAGGAGATACAAAACCAAAATTGTGCTTTATTCATTGTAAATATCATAATTATACAATGTTTGTGTGTTTTTTTGTTTTTTTTTTTTCTCTTTCTCTGTGCTTTGAGCATCTATGAAATAATAAATAAGGCTGAAGTATAATCCTTAATTAATATACTTATATTGAGTCCGGTCTTTATAGAGAGTAGAGTATAAACTGAATACTTCACTTTGGTTCTGGAATAAAGCAGGAATTGTTGAAGATTTGTCAAATTAATGGCTGAATATGGGTTAGCTTGACAATATATACACATTTACTATGAGCAGACATGCAGGAACTGCTTTAAATATCTGAGAATTCAGATAACATCTGAGAATATCAAAAGAATTGTTCATATCTGGAGGTTATCCGTGCTAGCCAGTTTTTAGCACCCCGTTTAGAAATCTGATCTCTGTGGGTGACTTTAAGTGAGTGGAGCAGAAATAGTTTCCTGTACAGGACAACTCAGATCACCTATTTACGCTTTTGCTGTGAATATGTCTTTCCAATCCCCTAGCTGCCACTTTTGTTGAAGAAATCTGTCAGGTCCTATCCCTTCAGTTGTAGGAAGTACTAAAAAAGAAATGGCACTTACATCAGCCATTCACAGAACTCATGCTAAAGGAGGAACCATCGTGGAAAAGTTTTTTTTTTTTTCTGTTTTTCACTCCATTGCTCACCTCCTTATTTTTGGATAGTGTAGATGTCCAAATGGGCAACCAGGATACCTTTTGTATTTATTTGTGCATAATTATCCAATTCCAAATAATCATCATTTGCAAGAGAGGCAGTCTTGTTGGTATTGTCAGACCTTTCTAAAGTTCACAAGAAAGAAGTGCAAGAGAGCCCTGTTGAGACTAGCTGGCAGAACCGTTATCATGGGGAACAATCTGAAAGGTATGTGTCAAAAGAAATTCCACAGGGTCCAGAAGAAAGTTAATGAAGAAAGCTAAACATCTGTCAAAATGTCTGTTGGTTTTCAAATTGGTTTGCATTTTCTGCTTAAAAGGACACCAATTTCTAGTCTGCTTCATAGTGATAGTTGTTGCAAAAGCTGTTTTCTAATTTCATGTGGCACTCAAATGACTTCATTGTACTGAAAACTTGTTTTTTGGTAGTTGTACTTTTGCACTTCTGTGGTGGCCTAAATATGTAACCAAGACAAGATTTGTTTAGGGAAGTTAAATATGCTATTGGACCAAATGACACAGTCAAAGCGTAAGATAGTCATGAAACTCTTTCAAGTCTGAAGTGGGAGAAGCAATTTTGACATCACTCTAAATTTAGCAAAACTGAGTTACCCAGTTTGACTCTGTGGATAGAAGGATTTATTATTATTATTATTAGAGAAGACAATACAAAAATCTAAGAAATGCAGGCTTGTGGGAGAGGATATTGTTTAGCATTTGAAAAAAAAATGTAGTCTGCAGTGACGAAGAAGTATGGAGAAGTTGTTTAGAGTATAATACTCT